AGGTTCTCTCTGTTCTCTCCACCACTGTTGTGGGTCAGACACGTGCCACATCTGTGCCTCTGAATGGGTCCCCATTTGGTCTCATTCCTCTCTGCTTTCTTTTTGATAATGCACTTACTGGGGCAGGTTTGTCCATCAGAGTACTAGGTGTCTGCCTTCTACTAGAAATCTTCAAGGGCATCTCTACTCAAGCAACTCGTCATTTTATTTTTTTAAATCCCAAACACTTCATGACTTCAGGCCAACCTCCTTGTTAACCTATGTCATATGAAGATCTTTTCCTCACCATATCTTTTTGTTTGTTTGTTTGTTTGTTTGTTTGAGACAGGGTTTCTCTGTGCAGCTCTGGCTGTCCTGGAACTTGCTCTATAGACCAGGCTGGCCTCGAACTCAGAGATCCGCCTGCCTCTGCCTCCCGAGGGCTGGGATTAAAGGCGGGCGCCGCCGCTGCCACACCGCCCAGCTGTTCACCACATCTTTTAGACAGTGTCCCTTGCAGCCCCCTATGCCTGTCCTATTCTTTCCTGGGTCCAGTCCTTTGTCTGCTTTCCTCAGCTTTGCTCACTATACAACCTTGAGCTATGTCTTCAACCTCTCTAATTCCCCATTTCCATCAAAGGGCGGATGACAGTGCTAACATTACAGGATGCTACCATAAGAGCACAGGGAAAGTACCTGGCCTTGGGCTGTCCAGAGTAGCACTGAATAAAAAGGAAATTTCTCTTTGCCATTCTGAATCCTTCTCACAAATCTTACTAAGTCTTTCCCTTCCATCCTGATATCCTGCTCTGGTTTGCTTCCTAATGAAAAGCCTCTCCTTCCTCCTCCGTGTTCTTCCCCTCCCCAGTCTCTTCAGTTCCATACACATTGATTGATACCCATAGTGCCTGGCACTGGCTGCCCACCTAGAGGTCAGACCTCATCACTGATCATTTAGGGCCTCAAGCACACTTTCGGATATAGATGAAAATGAGTATTTGCATACAGTTTCTCCCTTTTGCCATCTAGATGGCTTTCTAGTCCTAGCCACCTTAGCCATGGTTCTAGCCTCAAGAAGGAACCAGAAACCTGGCGGGGGTCCAGGAGGCCTGCAGCATGATTAACTGGAACACCCTTCACCCATATCTTTGCTCCCCAGGTCCTCACAGGTGTAACCCCCTCTCTGCTTCTCTGGCTGGTGTTGTATTAAGACATGCCCTTTGTCTTTCACGAGATGGGGTAGGTAGGAGCTTGCCGCAGTTCTCAAGGGGCTGCCTTAGAGACCCTGAGTCCCACAGCCTTCCTCCACTGATACACTCATAAACGTGTGGTAGACCTCTGCCCACTCGGCACTGCCATTCCTGCTTCTCTGATCCTTCTTGTGTTTTATTTTTGTGCCCAGCTTCAATCATGTCCTAGAGTTGGTAGAATGTATACAGGTGGTGGCTTTCAGGCTGAACCATAGGGGAAACATCATTGGTTTTTTTCCTTTAGTGCCGTGGTTCTCAACCTTCCTAACGCTGCGACCCTGTAATATAGTTCCTCATGCTGTGGTGACCCCCCAACCAAAAAATTATTTCATTGCTACCTCATAACTGTAATCTTGCTACTGTTATGAATCATAATGTAAATCTGATATGAGACTCCCCCAAGGGGTCATGACCCATAGATTGAGAACCCCTGCTTTAGGGAAAGAGGATAGTGAGTAAGGAGTGAGCCTGTCAGGGCGGCCCAAGAGAGAGAAGCTGCCATTTCACTTCCCCGGGGGACGGAGGGCTCCTTTTAGGAGAAGGGATTGTCGCTGTTAGACTGCAGTCTTGCCCATCATACTGGGACCTCATTCTTATCTATCTTGTGGGTTCTGTTCCTCCAGCCTGTCAGCCTGCTCTGGTTTGCTTTCCTTTCCCCTCACCCCCAAGGCCTTCCATGTAGCTTCCGTGCGGATCCCAAACTGTCCCATTTACACCACTCTCCTAATCTCCTAAATTCACTGGGAGCCTCAGGAAGCTGAGGCAGGAAAATAGAGAATCCCAGGCTAGCCTGAGCTAGAAAGTAAGCTCCTGCCTTGAAAGGGTAGTGGGGCAGCACTGGGAAGATAAAGTGCTTGCCACTCAAACAGGACTTGAGTTTGATTCATAGCACCAGTAGAAAAGATTGGTGTTGTTACCCTACACACACACACACACACACACACACACACACACACACACACACACATCTTTATAAAAGAAACAAAATAAAACCCTAACCCTGAATCTCTGATGAAGAACACCACTGTGCATGGTCTCCAGTGGGTGGGGTCATCATCTGTGCCCAGGAAGCCTGCCCAGTGCCTGCCATCCGTGTTACCAGACTCTTAGCATTTCCTAAAACCTCTAATCTTACCACCACTCATGCTCATCGACTGCCTCACGTTCTGCTGAAGGGAAAACAGTTCCCTTCATGAAACTCCCTCCATTCCATCCCAACCT